CACTATATATATATATATATATATATATATATATATATATATATATATATATATATATATTATTTTGAATAGATCTTTTTTTTTTTTTTTTAAATGATATCTTTAGCTAGGTTCTGAATATTTTTTAATGTTCTTAACCAACCACTATTTTTAATATAAATTATAACAGGTTTTTTAAGTTGAATACATGTGTGTCAGAACCTTCACTGAAGAAGGATCCGGACAGAATTTTGATTTTACACTAAAAATCTTTTTTCAACTATGATTTATTCTTTACTTTAAATTTTGTGTAACGTTTTATGTCTACAATCCGGATGCTAAATTAGGTTACCATGGGTCCTAATGTGAGTTAACACAACTGAGATGACCCAAAATTTCCTACATGATGATAACTTTACATTTTTCTTTTCCCTACTCTCTCGATATGAAATCACTATTCTTAATTTTTAAACCTAGAGTGAATTTTTCCATTTCCATTTGGTTTACAAGTCTGAAGATTTGAAGCTTTTTTTTATTGACTTCAATGAAATAAATATCACATTGTTTTTTAAGTGTTTGTTTGTCATTATGTAGGGGAACAAATTTTCTGTGATTACAGAATCGCGGAATCTGGGTTATTATTGTAATTTTCAATAATAAATCACAAATTGTTTGAATTTTTTTTTTTTTTTCTTTTTCTTTTCAGATTTTTAAAAAATTCTTTCAAAACTTAATTGTCTCTCCGATTTTGTTAAGCATTTTAATAAATATAACAATAACATAACGTAGTTATTTCCATAAAATTTGTTTTTACAAATATTTGTAGTTATTTCCCTTACAAAACCTGAAAAAATAGAGCAAAAATGTTTACATAAAAAAAGAAACATGGGTTATTGATTTTCTGAGAATATGTTTGCTAAGAAACTGTATGTAGCAAACAAGATAAAAGTCAGAAGGTCATGACTCAGTTGTGACCATTGAGATCCATTGCTAAAGTGGAAATAGAAGACAGACATTAGTTGCTGTTGAAATTGGAGGTAGGAGAGAGATAGATAGATAGAGAGAGAAAACCAATAAATTTAACAAATTCATTTCCTTTAAGGTCTCACAAAATTTACTAGTAAAAGTTTCTAAACAACTTGTTTTATGAATATGAAAGAAAAGTAAATGTTATCATGTTTATGGTAAATTCAATTTAGAAATAAAGAAAAAAAGAAAAAAGATTCTCCAAAAACACCATTCTATAAAATGACTGGCTTGTCTAAGCTTACCGTCACACGATTTTTCCAGATTAATAATTGCATCATCTTCAGTGCTTCACTATTTTAAACAAATTTAAATTGAATGAAAAAATTTCTTTACTATTCACTATTATTTATTAATTATTTTTTCATATTTTATTTATATTTTGTAATCTAAACCAGTTGTCAAGATGACTGAATGAAGTCAATATAGTGAATCAACCTCTAAAATTGGGTCTGCTCCTCTTAAAGAGAAAATGACCCCAGTATCTAAAATTTGTGCTAAGGCCCAAGTAGAGCAATTTCTTGATAACTTTTATGCAGAAGAAAATGTTATTTTGCAAATTTTGTCTCCATAGTGTTGACATGTTTAAGGTTGACACAATCAAAGATCATATTCAAATCAAAAACTCATTTGACAAAAAAGTCTTTAAAAAAAGCTGGCTCAACTGAAACAGAAGACAATCACACAAGAGGTATGAGATGATTTTGTCCTTGATTTTTTGAAAATGTGCACTTTGACATTCCCTTACACAAAATTGACAAAATGAGGCCATTCATATTAAAACATTGTAAATATGGTGATGCTACTCCAAGTATCAATTGTGTTAGGCAACCTCATCTACCAAAATTGTTTGCTTGTCACTTTGCTGCCCTGAAAGCCAAGCTTGTTAATCAGTCAGTATCATAACAGATGAAACAACTATCATGACCACAGCATTTTAAATGTAATTGCAAGTATTTGTGGGGAGTCATTTCTCATTGATGTTGTAACCTTGGGAGAATGAAATCATCTAGCTGTGAGACAGGCATGAATCTGAGCTGTAACTCATGTGGATATTGCATTTGAGGATATTATTGCCTTTGTAACAGATTTTGCAGCCTATTGCAATAAAAGCTCATAAGGAAGTGTTGTCATATGTCTCTGTTAACAGTTTCCATATGTTGTACTTAGCATATATGTTAAATCTTGTTGGTGAAGTATTTTCACACTGGTCTGCATTTGATAATGTTACCCAGCTCACTACTTACATATATATATATATATATATATATATATATATATATATATATATATATTGACCATCTATAATCAGAAATTTATTTCATTGAATTTTTCTTAATTTCTATTTTCTCAATGAAGCAAGATTGAGGAACTGATTGGAATTTTTTTAAAAATTGTGTCAATTATGTGATAATTTAGGAAACTTTTAATTTATTTATCTAACAAATTTAATTTGTATTAACTTGCATCAGTAGGAATTTAAGAAATAAAAACACTGAATGTTTTTTTTAATAAAACAAATGAGAGAAGGATAAACATAGATGCCTATGACAATGAGAGCCACCTCATGTTGATATATGCAAATGAAAACATAATGTCTGTAGGTAAGGTCAAAGAGAAACTAGAATCCTTCGTGTTGACCAGTAAGGACCCCAAATGTCTGAAAGTTGGGGCTCTAGTATTGGGCCTTGAAGTTTGGTGGGAGCACAGCACTCTATGGTGAAAGTGAGGAAGTACAGTTCTGGAGCTCCCTGCTGTACTTACGCACTGTAATGTCTTCCAATTGTGGGAAGTTGATAGGTCACATTCCTGTCCGTGGGCAGCTTCATGCAGCAACTGGAGCAATGAAGAGGCGGTAACAAAGGGATGGGATGAGACCATGAACATCATCCCTCTTAAACAGATGATGGCTGAGGTAATCACTAAAGTGTACAAGGTGATCCTTCTTGAGGTGACTGGTATATAACCAGAGAAGTTAATGCATCAGTTGATGCAAGCTCCCTGGTGACAGGTGTGATGTTGGAAAGACATGGTGCTATTCTTGAGGATGCATGCTGTCTTTGTCCAACTAACGATGCTCAGCATATTAGTCTGGTGGAACTTGACACCACGCTAAAGGGTATTAACCTCGCACTACATGGCAATCTAAGGTGATGCACCTACATACAGACTCAGTATGTGTTTGCCACTGATTGACTGATACCTTGACAGGCAAATCTCAAGTCAGAATCAAGGCTTTCAGCGCGATATTAATGATGAAGGTTGGTAACCGTAAAACAGTTGATGAATGAATGCAGTTTGGTTGTTGATATCACCTTGATTGTGTCAGAGCAGAATCTAGTGGATATGCTAACTCAGGTGCCAAAAGGGTGGCTTGACTTAATCAAACAAGGCACCGACCCATTGTTGATCACTTGTACTGTGTTAATGGACCAATTGACACCTGAACAAATCCATGCCATACACCATCAAAGTGAACATCCTGGTATTCGGCATACAGCATACTTTATGCCTCTTGACTACGAAGACAGTCAAGTCAGCAGTACAAGATTGCAAGGAGTATTGGATGGTAGATCTGGCCTCAGTTCTTTGGTAAAAGGAAAGACTTGAAGTGGATAGCAATTGGTGGCATTTAGACATGGACATCACACACTACAATGGTATCCATTTCTTGACACTCACAGATTGTGGTCTGATGCATTTCACTGCTTGGCATCTGCTGACACCCCAGAATGCATTGACTGTCATATGACAGCTACAGGCAGTGTTTTCTGACTGTGATCCACCAGTCAAGATATTGATGAACAGTACCCCAACCTTTTGTGGCTGAGAATTTCAGGCCTTTGTTGATAAATGGGGTGTATGGATGTGATATTGATGTGCCTATGTTCCAGAGAGTAATGGTATCATCACACCATTAAAAGAATTACAGCCAGAATATGGTGCTTCCTTTGGGAAGCTGTGTATTGGTACAATGTGACTCTGAAAGATGACTCCACATCATCAACTGCACCAGCCAACAATTTACCAGTATGAACAGCACATGAAAGACATAGATGCATCACTACCACCATCTAATAGTGTAAATAACCAGCATCAAGTGGGTCAAGGCCCTGCACAGCTGATGTACCAGCAGATTTGGTAAAGGGCGAGTTGATGGGATTGTTAACCCCCAAACAGTATTGGTTTATAGACTGCTGTGCCATGCGAAAAACCTTGACCGCAATACGAACCTTCTGCTTCAGTAGACGGCAGAAATAGTACATCATCTGAGAGTGACCCGGATACTCTGTTGGTCTTAAGAACAGGGTTGAAAAGTCCACCTGCAGACCCAGAGGATGATAATATCAGAATTGATGGCGACCAGGATAGCATATGTTCGATACTCATAGAAATATCTCCCCCGTCATCTATGAAGAAGCACTCACTGAAGGCACCCTCCATACCGAAAAGAAAATTGCGGCTTTACATGTCATATGTTTATATGTCTCATAAAGCCACCAGAAACAATATATCTCAAGGTTGGATTCATCATGCGAGACTCTTTTTTGCACCTATCACTCAAGCTACAAAAATCTACACCTATCACTCAAGCTACAAAAATCTACACCTATCACTCAAGCTACAAAAATCTACACCTATCACTCAAGCTACAAAAATCTACACCTATCACTCAAGCTACAAAAATATACACCTATCACTCAAGCTACAAAAATCTACACCTATCACTCGAGCTACAAAACGTGCTTGATGAGGTGACATAGCAGTATGATTTTGGTAGTGAACAGGAAACATGTGTTGGATTGTTTGACTTGCGCTATGCTGTTTAGTGAACAAAATGGATTAGGGAACTTTATTCCAAGCATCTTAGTTTGTATAAAATTTTTATTTTTTATTTCTGGATAGCCTTGAAATATTTATAATTCATTTAATATGTTCATACCACAAAACATGTTTTCAGTAGAAATAAATGTTTGAATTTCATTTTTTCTCAGTTTTTCTAATGAAACTTTATCAATAATTAATACAACCACATGGAAGCCGACACCTACTAAACCTATGATGCCAGAGGATCTTCCAGTTAAGGGATCTGCAGAAGAAGAACATCATAGCAGTTTGACTATATTCTTTATTCTTTTAGTTGTTGGTAAGTTTTATATACAAGTTTTTTTTTTTTTTTTTTTTTTTAAATCTTCTGAATTCTCTCTATATATGAAGTCAACACATAAGTAATGTCCAAATTTGTTTAGTTAGAATTTATTTGTTAACATCATTATCAATAACGTCCTACCAACAATTCACAAGTTTCATAATACAGCTTTTGTAAAAATATTTTGGTTCAAAGGATTTTAGAATGTAATGAGAATAGTTTCCCTGCTGTTCATGTGTTTTAAGAACAAATCCATCAATATGGTTCTGTAAACTCCAGAATAGGTAATAAGATAAGAATAAAGAGCATGTGGAATTTTTCTCAGTTAAAGTCTTCAATTTTTTCAGATGTGATCTTTGTTGTATGGAGCCAAGCATTAATGTGTGATAACCCTAACACCTTTTGTAATAGAACAAACCAGGCCTTTTCCCACTAAAGCAATGTTTAAATACTATAACTGATGACTGCAGTAACTAATAATTTAGTAGGCTACTCTATTGCAGTTTCCCAAAACACATACCTTTACTTTGAATGATATTAATTTTGTATTGTTTTAACCTGTTTAATTTGTTTTTATTTTCTTGTAAAATATCCATTTTTCAGTCTTAATTTAAAAAAAAACACAAGATGCATTTTTATATATATATATATATATATATATATATATATGAGGGAGAGAGAGAAGTACAAATGACCACTCTTGCTTTATAGCTTGATTCTGTTAAATCATGTGGAAACTAATTTTCCAAACTGATGGTAACTTATTGAATAGCTTGAATTCAGTTTTTGAGTTAATTCTTTCACTGTAACACCACTATTTCCAAGTTATGACAAAAGCAGTGCTTCTTTAAATGCAGCAAAGCAATCTGTTCATGCGGTGTCTGATCTGAAGTAATCATTTCCAAACTTTTCAAATTTTTTTTAGCAATTACTTAAAAAAATCTCTTTGGTTTCTTTCACAACATTATAGTCTTTTCTAAAATGATAGTGCATTATATCTTTTGGAAGCTCCGATAACTAAATTCATAATGTTATCATTTACAGTTAACCTAAAACTTGTAAGTATGAAAAGATTTTCCCTTAGCTTATTTTTTTTCTTCTATAAAAATGCAAAATAAACAATTCTCAATATTTTTTTCTTTTTTTGTCATGTTAAATATTTTGTATTTAATTTCATACAAAATATCCATGATAATATACAATACTTGATTATTTAAAACTGAAATTTATAACATTTTATATTTCCATTATTTCCATTATTTGGACTATTGTCCTCATCTTTGTCGCCATATTTATTACAACATTTCGGCCATTGTACGCTCTGGCCTTCTTCAGGTGGCTAGAATGTTGAACTGAACCCTTTATTTTGCTCACTGGGGTAGACTGTTCTAGTTCCACGTGCCATGTTTAACGGATGTCAAAGACACATAGCACATAGGATAAAGGCGTTAGTTAGATCCAGTGACAGGACCCAAAGAGTGTGAGTTCAATACCAAAGGCAGTGGAGAACTTTCAAAGGGAAATTAACAGGAGATAACTGATAACTGACATCCATTAAATATATGGCATATGGAACTAGAACAGTCTACCTCAGTGAGCGAAATAAAGGGTTCAGTTCGACATTCCAACCATCTGAAGAAGGCCGGAATGTACAACGGCCGAAACATTGTAATAAATATGGCGACAAAAATGAGGACAATAGTCCGAATAATGTAAATAGTGTACATAATACCTAATCTCAGAAATATAGACAGATTCATAACTAAAGAAACTTAAATTCTTGTGCTGCTTAAATAAATACAAATACTTTTTTATGTTTAAAAATATTTGTATTGATATTTATAGTATCAACATTGATAGAAATAAAAATGTTTTTAAATGGGCACTTCATCTGCCATTGGCTTTCAAAATCTGAACCCAGTTATACCTTCAACATGATGGTTCTGCTACTGCTGTATGGTCTAAGGTACTTGTCCAGCATTAAACATTCATTTTGCAAAACAAAGTTAAATTTTTTGTTAATTAGTGAAACTGTTAATTTTTTTTTCATCAAAATGAAATGAATTAAAAATATGATAATCAAAAATGATGAATAAGTTTTTAAAAAAATATATGTACATTCAAAACCAAATTTACTCTAGCATCAGTTATTAAAATAGCTGCAGTGCAGAGTTGGGTATGTGTTTTTTGGTTTATGCTTGAATGTACTGTAGCTATAGCTTATTGTATTCACTACTCCCATTTCTATCAGACGGTGTGGTGTAACAGAATGCTTTCAGAATTGCCCACAATCTGTACAAAAGAATTCTGGAAAATGCTAAGAACAGTCAAAGCCAAATTTAAAAAAAAAAAACCACCTTAGCAAATTCTAAAAAATTACAAATAAGGTTCTCAACAGTGGTAAACTGCTTGTGTTGTCCATCAAAAATAGCTCTGAGGTTATCTCGTTCACATCAAATAAGGCTAATATCATTGCAATGAACTGTCTCTAATTCCATGCTTGATTCCACCTGATGGAACAGCTTCACAAGATGCCAAGTCTTGCCAGTTGTTTGTTTTCTTGTCACTTTTATTGGTATGAGATAGCTGACAAAGACCCGAATCTGGACAAGTTGCAGATAGTATCTAGACATGTCAAGATGTTCCACTGTTAATGGGGAAAACCTGGATGTAACTAGTTTTGATGGACATATCTGTACTGACGTACGTTCACTGCACTGATTTCTGCCATTTTATGGAACACAAACTTTGCATTATTCCTGTTTTGGGTCAGGAAGTTTCCAGACTTATAAAAGGCCTTGACTCTATGAAAGCTACTGGTCTGGATAAAATTCCTGTAGTTCTTAAGGACTGTGTCCAATCTTGACAAAATTGTTTAATTACTACCTGATGGAGAAATGTTTCCCAGGTCTATGGAAAGTGTTGACTGTATGCCCAGTTAACAACAATGTGAGTGAGTGCTCATCTCCATTGGCAGTATTGTCCCATCAGCCTCTTTGGTGTCATTAGCAAACTTTTTGAGGTTCTCACAAAGTAGATTATCAATCACCTCAACAGAATCAACCTTTCGAGTGACAAACACTATGCATTCTGCTTCTCTTGGTCCACTGTTGATATCTTAATTGTCATTATATATAACCATATTGAAACCATTCATTTTCTTGTGTAATGATAGCATTTCAGTTGATATCTGATTTTGTTTAAGATTGATAAATTTGCAACTTAGTCCATTCAACTCACAATTTATCATGTATTTCTGGTCCAATCTTAAAAATATTCATATGGCTGGAAAGAAAATAATCTTTCTAAATATGTAATTTGTATTCATTGAATTATTTTTTTTTATTTAGCAGTTTTTGTTTTGAACAGCCAAAAATATTTAAATATTATGAGTTTTAAAATAAATTTTTAATTTTACTTTTGATTTGTAAAATCAAAGTGACCAATTTTTATCAATATTCTTGAATTGTACACTCAAGAAGACATTAAATTACAAACCAGTAGAATGTTCATTTCTTCTCTGACCTATGGAAGCAAAGTCCTTCAAAAATTATAAAATAAGCAAAAAAAAAAAAAAAAATTGTCTGACATCGACAGATGCTTGTTTTCAATTAAAGTTTATTTATTAAACTTTCGAAAAAATTGTTAACTATAAATAACTACCATATTTATTAACAAATGGTAAAATACAAAAGAAATCATTGCATAAACTATCTATATTTTTGTGTCTTTGGAGAACACATTTGAGAGAGAAAATGGTATAGCTCTCCAGAAATTAGTTTATGATATGGCTTTTAAAAGCCAAAAAAAATGAAACCCTTCATGTTTTCAAAAAATATGTCAATTCTTTTCTGGTATGCCAGTCAACTGTTATTAGGTTTTGCAAATAAATTTCTTTTTAAACAAGGAAAATCAATGAGTTATTTTTTCACATAAATAAATTTATGTTTATCTAATGAATACACAAAAAATAATTAAAAGCATTTAATTTCATTTTTTTTTTTAGAATGTGTAGATTTCCAAATCTGCAAGTATCACCTGTTTTTTTTAGATACACATTTTAAAACTGAAATTAAAAACTATTTTAAATCATTTTAATATAATCTTATATTTATTCACTAGATAAAACCATAAAAGAAATTTAAAAATAAAATTAATTTTCCTTGTTTAGAAGAATTTTATAGGCAGAAAACATATACTGAACTATAGTGGCTAAAAAAAGAATAATTTTTACTTTGGGTTTAAGAAAAATGACTTGCAGTTTTGAAAATATACACATTTCAAACCTGAAATTAAAACTTTATTTTTTTTTTAATATTTAATTTTAGGTGTATTTGCTAGATAGAAACATCATTTTATTTGTAGAAAACAAACAATTTTATTTTTAATTTTACACTAGAGACCCAAATATCTGGAAATATACAAATTTTAAAAGTAAAATTATGAACTATTTGAATTTTCTTAATATCTAATTTAGGTGCATTCCCTAGATATAAAAAAAAAAAAAAATTTATAAAAATAAAAAATCTTCATTCATTTTTCTTGTTTACAACAACTTTTTGTGATTGGTGTACTGGCTTACTAGAAAACCCTTACAAAAAATCTGACTTCATAAAATTTAATATTAAGATGGAACTGGCAACTATTTTTTTTAGTTTTACTCACTATTTTGTTGGTTACTTAATCTTACTATGAAAAGTTTTTTTTTTCTTTTTTTTTTTTTTTTTTTTTTTTTTTTTTTTTTTTTTTTTTTTTTTTTTTTTTTTTTTTTTTTTTTTTTTTCTTTTTTTTTTTAAACTGAAACAAATAGATTTCAGACATCATATCATATTTCCTTTTTTACTTAATTTCTTTTGTAAACAATAGATTTCACATTTAAAAACTAGTCAATTAAATGTTTTTAACATATTTTTGTTCAATCTTTTTATCTTACAATAGTTGGTATCAATGTTGATTTTTAAATTTTATTAACATCTGAAAGTCTTTTTTCAATACTGTTTCTTTGGATATGGTCACTCAGTAGTGATATGCATATTAAAAAACCGAATGATTTTGGTTTTCTAAAAATTTCTATATGCGGTTTCAAGTGTGAAGATCTTCAAAAAAAAAGTTGTTTTTTTTTGGTTGTAACCGCCTTTCTCTAATGCAGATGATACTGTGGCTTATGGGAGCACCATCAAAGATCTAGATGACTAGAATCTGGCAGCTGATCTCTCATCCGACCTTAATGGAGGAGGAACCAACTTGTAACTTTCAATACCTCTAAAACCAAGTTAGTAATGATCCATCATCACAGATAAATAAAATTTTCTCCAGTAATGAATGGTTGTACTCTGAATAAAGCTTCTTGCCTCACTCATATCAGGCATCAAGTGGAACTTGTATTGCTCCATCAGTAAGGACACTGCAAAAATGGTCATTTTTAAATATTGTTTATAGTTTTTGACTACTATTGTCATTGCTTTTCTTTGCAAGAGCTTTCAGACAAAAATAAAAATTGCTTTTATCTAAAAAGCTACCCAGTCTTAACTTACCAATCTCAGTAGATTTCAAAAGTGTTTGCTTAACCATGTGGGTGATGATTTTTTTTTCTGCCCTACAACCCCTTCCCACAGACATAACGTTACTAGCCTGTTTTCATGGCAGATGTTTTAGCGAACACTATACATGGTATAGCAAGTCCTATCCATGAAGGTCTGAACTGGTTTCTCCTTCTAGGATCTACTGTGCCATATGCACTGAATTGGCTCATTGTCATTGACTTCATATTTCATTGTTGAGGAGGAAGTTCTATCTTTTCCCAGATAACTGTTGCATTATGGAATAGATTCCCTGATCACTACAATCTTAACTCAAGTTGAGAGCCAACCATTATCTACCCTACATATGCTCATAATAGCCATCTCTTGCTTCCTCCTTATACACCCTTACAATCTTATTTAGTAACCCTCTAACTTGAGTGGCTCTTGGGCCTTGTATTGGGTGAACAATATTTTTTTTTAAAAAAAACTATTTCTACTATACTTTGGTGATCAGTCATATCAAATTTTAAGATTGCTGCTGCTGTTCTTTGGGCAAGGCCAAGAGGCCATTTTCAACACTCTCTTTCATGATTGTTACAAGATTCCTGATATTATTGAGGTCCAGTGAATATGTGTATATGCATGACTCTCATTGAATGCATTAGTGGAAAGCCAAGAAACCCATGTGCATATTTTGTCAATAGTGTTAGGTCCTTATCAAGGTTCTATACACACCTTTTCAGCTCTAAAAAAAGTACCATGGGGCCTGTTTGTGTTTTGGAGATAATTTGAAAGGAGTTACTGAAGAGAAAAGACTAGAGGCATTGCTTATTGCAAAGCTCCTTATAAAAATTGTGATACAGTTGTTCATTCATACATAAGTTGTCAAGTTGAAATCCAACAGGTAACAATGAATTCTATTAACTGATTTTTAAAAAATGTTAAATTTTTAATGTATCTCTATATGTCTCCTACTTAATATTTCTATGATTTTAGCACTGTTAAAATTAAATTTTCTTTTAAAATAACATTTGTGTGTATTTCTAAAGTTTTTTTTGTTTTTTTTATTTCTAACTCCTTTACTTTTTTTTTATTTCTGATAACAGCATTTTGCATTCTACTAGTTCACACATTGATTCATACTCATTTCCACTACTTGCCGGAAAGTGTTGTTATTGTCCTTATTGGTAAGTATTGTCTTCATAATTCTGTGAGCTTATTAAATTTGTTTGAGTTCAGAAATTTAAAGAAAGAGAAAAATTGTTGATTTTGTCTAATGATTAATCCAGAAACTGTTTATGCTAATTATTTTTTATTTATTTTTTCTACCTAATTTTTTAATTTTTTAGAGAAAAAATGCCAATTTTTATTAGGCTTGGATGTTGTGTAAATGACTTCTAAATGGCAAGAAGATAATTAGGTGGTGAGATATAGGGGGAATATAGTGGGTGAAATAAAACTTTCAATGTTTATCTGAACTTTATAGATACATATAAAGTTTCGCATTGTCCTCTGGTAGAAAATCCTTTTAGAATTAACTTGCCAACACTTTGCAGAATTGTAAGAGTGTTTATATCCATTTGTTTAATCTATACAAATCTTTTTCAGCTAGTAAAATGTTTCTACATATTCCTTATAAAAAAACTTACTGGTAAGCTTCTGAATGAAAATTTAAACTTCATATATGTTTAATTTGTCATATTAAAAATATTTATTAGTTGCATGATTATTAATAGCACCTTTCCACAATCTTGTTCATAAGCTGCAGGTTTTTTATTATTTTCATGATTATACATTATATTTTTTTTAATAACACATTACATGAACTTCTTATCATAAATGTTAACTATGTGTGACCGAGTTGATAATTTTCATTATGACCTTTATTCACCTTGTTATTGGTTCAAACTGTAGATATGGTACCAGATGGTACAATCTGTATAAATTTTTTCAAATAAGTGTCTGTCCTCAATTAATTCATTATTAATTTTATTTATAATATAAATAAACAAAATTGAATGACAGCTTCTCCACAGCTGTGAATCTATTTTGGAAATTTCTTTTCAACTGTTTTTATTTTATAAGTTTAAATTTGAAGCTTTGTTAGTCTTGATTTTTTTTTTTTTTTTTTTTTTTTTTTTTTTGAGTTCATTAATCTTCCTAATTTATTTTCATTTAATATAGATAAAGAAAGATTAACTTCTGGTAGCAATTTGCATTTATTACCAGCTCATTTATACATTTTTATTACATGATTTTAATTTGTACACTTGGTTTATTATCTTTTATAACAATTAATTATTATAAAATCTTGGAAAAGGAAAAAAAGGAATTATAAAACAAAAATGTTCAATATTTGCTTTTAATGTATTTGGCTATTTCTTTGTAAAAGGAACTACCAAAAAAAGAAAATAATAATGATGTCACAAAAGGAAATTATTTACAATCAATTATATTTGTGTGGCTTATTATTGATGTCATTTTGAGAAAATACAAAATCCTTTTTGATGCAAGAAAATAAATTATTTTGAGAAAATAAATGTTTTAAATCTAAAATTGAAGCAAATCTAAAGTATGCCTTAGTTATGAAAAACTTTCCTAATGAATACATAATCTCAAATTCTAAAGCTTGAATGACTTTATCACTAGTCAGCAGTACTGAATTTGATTTCATCTGACAGGTAGTGTGCTATTTTAATATTTAGGTCAGGACAATGTTATCTTTGTTTATTAACAAATATTCAAACTTTTTTGCTTTACAGGGGCTTTAATAGGATTAACATTAAAGATATTTAAATTTGGCAACTGGAGGGTAAGTTTCTTTTATAAAAAGTGCAATAAGTAATTTTTTTTTCTGTGATTTTTGTAATTCTTAATGATTTAATACAAAAAACAAAGATTGTGTAGGTAAAAGCTGTCAAGTTATGATTATAAAAATCATAACTTGACTGCTTTTACACTATGAAAATGTGCAAATATTAACTTTATTTTTGTCCAAGATACAATGACAAAAATTTGCATTGTCCAAAGTAATAGGGTTTTAAGCTCCTGGGAACAGCTGTAAATTGATGTTTTGACTGTATTCAGCAGTTTTTCTGGGCACTAATTTCAGTGCTGCAGGGTATTACAACACACACTTAAGTAACATCTGCAATAGAAAATAGTCTGAAGTCTCTTATGCCAGTGGCATTTTCATAAGCATATTGAACATGTTATGCATTCTAAAGTTAACCTTATTTCATTTATGAACTGATGTATAACACAAACCTTCTTTTCTATCTTTGTGTGGTTGCCGGGGAGCATATTCCTCTGCCAGTCAGTCTGCTTCATTTAAGCTTTTGATCTGAAGCATCCTCAAGATGGGGGTAGATTGCAAGAAAAATTAAGAAGGAAGCAACTTTCAGAACTTACAGCCCACTCTTGCTTCTAGAAACAACATAGAATTTATTTGTTGAGGGTTACAGTGATCAGTTTAACCCTCCGAATTCTGCAATGTTGTGGTTTATGGCTGGTTGGTGAGTTAGTAGATGTTTACATTATTCACAACACTTCGCAAAAACAATAGCAGTGAGTGGTAATCAGTTCAACACTTCATTCAGGCAACCTTGTACATGAAATTAGTCTCCAAAACATCAGTCTGCAAATGAAAGTTTCTTAGAAGGTTTCTTCTTCAGAAGGTTTCTTCAATTGACCAACTATTCTTCATTAGGATCTTGCAATGAGTGGGTGAAGTGGTTGGCGATGTCAACTGTTTGATTCTATTGCTTTCTCTGGCTGTGTAGCTCTCTATGGGATGTCTCAATTATCTCTGGCTGTCCCTTGGAGGCTCTCTGTTGCACGCTTTGCCCATCTTGAATCTCTGAGACTCTCTCAATCTGTGTATCTCTCTTTATTACTGCTAAAATCTGTGGTTGTCTACTTGGGACAATAATGAGTCCCTGTATTTATGGAAACATGAAGAAGGAAAATGTTTTGGGTTACAATTTGATTTACATATGTACATTGTAACAGGGTCAGGTGAAGTGATTTTGGGACTTCATCCTCCAGTCACATCCCAATTGTTTAAAACTTTGACAGAATTATGGAATAGTATTAAAAAATAACATTTCCTTTACTAAATTTTGGTCAAAATTCTTCCTAACAGTGTTTAAAGTTTATTTCAACTGTAATTTTTTAGGCATTGAAAAACTGAATAACTTTTATAAATAAATGAAATAATGTTTCTGTAAATGACTAAACTACCCTAGTATAGACTGAAAACATATTAAAATAGTGAAATTTCCTTCCATTTCAATTACTGATATTTTGGTTATTTTTAGGCTATTTTGATGAAATTAATATTTCAACAAAGTTTAATCTTTCTCATATGTGATGGTTATTTTTTTTTTTATTCCATGTCACTTTTAATTACGTCATTATTTCAAGAATAGGTGCTTGTTTATTATTAACGCTGACAATTCCATAGTGATGTTTTTCAAACTTGTTGCACTTGGAGTTGTCTCCTTACACATCAAAATAGTCCCATTTTAAAAAAGGCTGCTCTTCAGTATGGTTGGCTTTAGGTAAGATTTGAAGTTGTTTTGCAAGAATTTTTTTAATTTGAAAACTTTAGTGGATGGATGAAATACCAGAGAAATTCTTAAAAAAAAAAAAAAAAAAAAAAAAATTGTACCTTCATTTCAAGAAATGTCTAGTCTTTAATAATCAATTAGTTTCATATTTCTGCACCATACAACTTGAGATGCATGTGAATCAAAATATTGCATTCATTTTGTGCAAAACTATTGGGTCTGAGGCATGGAAATTTGTATTGTTGACTGAATTAAAGTATTACCAACTGAACCTGATTTTAAATCACTTTTTCCATCAATGGATATTACAGTTTAACTCTTTTTCTTATACTTTCTTTTAAAAATTTTAAGATTGTATAAAGTACTTATTAAACTAAATGCATCGGATGAAATAAAAAATAGACTCAATACATTTTTAGCTTTTCAAATTTTGCACTCTCATGTTTCAGTACAAAATTGAAATAAATTTTTAAAAAAATATCCAGTTTTTCATTTTTAATGGTCATTCATTTCATTTACATTTGTGGCTAGCAATATTTTCTCTAATTCTTGGTATTTGGGGATAGATTGAAAATTTATTTACATTTTTCTTTTTAAAATTGAAACTGGTTACATTTTGTAAAAAAATATAAATAAAAATAAAAAAAATGAACTGGGTACGTTTCAGCTTTAGCATATGGGTCCATACAAAATTGAAATGTAATTAGGTAATTTTCAAAATGTAATCAGTTTACCTTTTTGTAAATGATTATTTGTTTGTTAATTCTAGGGATTGGGTCATATTTTGGAGGTTCAAATGAAATCATGAAGTCATATTTCATCTCCATCCATTGCTGTAATCAAAATTTTAGTTTCAACTAAAAGCAGAAATGATTATTTTTGATGGCCTTTGTTGGATCATATTGCACAAGTGGCATCTGCATTGGATATAATACCACTTTCAAATTATGATAGAATATGGAGTGTTCTAGGAATATTGACTGCTTATAAACAAATTTAGACTGCAAATCACCATTAGAAGAGGAAATACAAGTGGACCATTTGAACCACCCAGAGAATATTTCATCAGTTCAAATAAATGTATTTTTATTCATTTCAGTATTTTTAGTTTGAAAATAAATGAATTTAAAGTTTTACAATAAGCAATTGTTTGAAGGATTGACCAATAATTAATTTTACAAAACAAATTTTCTAAGTTTTGTAGTTGTTAATGTTCATTTTAACAAAAGTGCATAATTTCAAAAATTTTCAAAAATTAGAAAGATCTCTGACAAAAGTATTCATATTACAGAGAAAGGAGCTGTTTTATTGAATTCCTCATCCTAAAATTAGTAAAGTTTAAAAGTTTCAGGCATGTACCACCAATGGATACTTTTTAATGGCAAGTTCAGGATAGTATACTTTTAATCTGTTTTGCCCTACTGTCAAATTGCACCTCTGGTGGCTGCCACCAGAGGACTGTCTGCATAGCCATCAGCAGCCTGCCAGTGGGCTACTAGCAGCTGCCATGTAGGAGAACTATGTGCTGATTGACTCTTTGCAGTCATCATGCTAAACTGTAACTTAGAGTGCAACTGATGCTGATGAATGGTCAGTGGATTTTGGGTATTCCAACATCTGTTATGTTTATTGATGAAATTTTCCAAGTAAAAATAAGCCCGATCAATTATGAAACATTTTTTGAGGAAATTCATTGCCATCTCTAGCCTAGAAAATGAATAGCATAATCAAGAAATCACTGATAATTCATTAACTTTATCTCCTCAAATAATTGCGTCTTGTATAGTAGATATGTGTAAATCTTTATGGAATTACCGTAAGGATGTTCTGGCAATACTAAACTGTTGGGAATTTATTCTATTATTATAATTTTTTTTTTTTTTTTTTTGTTTCAAGTCTTTCATTGTTAATTGAGATTTTTTGCAACTGTTTTTTTTTTTTGGAGTGGGGGGTCAAATACTAGTACTGTTTTGTTCATTTTCTTGTATATATTTTCTTTCATTGTATAAAAATCATTGGCAAATTAGTATTCCTCCCCCTCCAAAAAAAAAAAAAAATTAAATTTAAGTTAGGATTCTTTTGGTGACTGTGGTGTATGAAGAGTAAATGTGATGTTTTGGTGAATTGAAAATTGTATGAATGGATCAATGAGTGAGACTAGTTAGGTTAAAACTAGAGAAGACTGGCTTTCCCCATCTCCTACTTTAGCCTTAGTTTCACATATTCATACAGGGTATGATGGGTAAATTGTCACCAATTTATATTTTTAATTTTGCGCATACATATTATTTTGTGAACTGCACAGTATAGTAGGGTTAGTTGCGCACAGTTTGTGAGAAAAAGAGCATCATGACACAATTCATGCTGCCAGAAATTTGGAAATAGCATGCTGTACTGCTTGGCATTTATGACAGAAACTCCAATATTATAATTTCAGTGTATCTTAGTGTCAATCTGAGGACAGTGCAGAGGATTTGGAAAGTTGGATGAGTCTAATGGTGATTACGAAGGTAGAGCAGCTTGGAAAACTCATTCTAATAAGAAAAGAACTCCCAAATTTGTTGGTGAGGACTCTGACCTACATGGAGACCTACATCAAGTGCCTTGAGGAGATAGTGCTGCTCTGGGTCAAAGGGTGGCTGCTGGAAGACCCTATATCTGGCAACAGGACTGCACCATGTCACACAAGCAGGAGTACTCATTCCTCATTTTATAATGACACCTGTACATTCTGTGTGTTTGTGTGTAAAATGCACTGTTAATTTTCCAAATAAAATTCTACGATTTTAATTTTTGAGAGCTTTGCTGAATTTTTCATGAGATTTCCAAGGAATGAAGTGTTCAGATATGAAAGTAAAAGAAAAAAAGATTATAGATTTTTTCCAATGGTAGCAGAACTTTTAGGTCACTCTGAAGTTTCTAGAAAAACTGTGATTGCAACATTTGGATGATAATGAAAATTGTTAGTTGCAGTGAACTTGTATAGAGCAGTATTTGATTTTGTGCCTGATTTTTAAATTGCTTTTATGTCTGTATTTCTCTTTTTCCATATGTACAGATCAGTTATTTATTCTTGTATCAATTCTTGAAAATATTTTCAAATTAACTGTATTTGAAAAAAAAATTGTGAATATTTATTTTAATTTGTACCTTTTTATTAAATTTAACAAATTAAGCAGTATTGTTTAATTTTTGACATTTGCATTAATGTTTTGTATTTAGAGTGAAGAAACTTTCAGCCCCACAATTTTCTTCATTGTGTTGCTTCCTCCCATCATCTTTGAATCTGGCTACAATTTACATAAGGTATGTTACTTTATGTTTATAAGTTAAAAAAGTTAAAGCGATTATATATTATTTCTTATCTCATAAATAGTGAAAAGTCCTGCTATTTTTATAATTTCTGTAACTACTTTGAATGACCTTTAGAGTAGTTGTGTAGGTTAGTAAACAATTTTTAATCTTTCATTCTCTCCTTATAAGTTTAACCTTAACTACTTTCTTGCTTTTTCCTGAAATTGGCATGATCTTTGAGTATAATGCTTTCTTTTTAAATTTTTATTTTAATAGATTCTGCACATTGATGGTTTCTAGAAATTTTTTTAATTTCTATTGTATTTTTTGAGTTGTTCCTGTTGTGTCATTCCATAGATTAACCAGTCAGGATAATATAAAAGAAAGATAAAGGTTAACATTTCTAGCTATTAATGTAGTTGTAGAAACAAAACCAGTACATTCACCATAATATAAGGAAGGTGAAATTATCATTTACATGTTTTCATGTATTGATTACATTTTCATCTATTGATTACAGTTAAAACTTTTCTAACTCTGTAAACTTTCATAGCCAACAATGAAGTACATATGATCATATTTTAGAGTACTATGTAAACATGGATTCATGATCTAGTCATATAAATGTCATCAGGAGAATATTATTTTTGGTCAAATTCTCATATACATTTTAAATTATGCAAGTTTTTTTGTTTACCAACTCTTCATTTCAGATCATCATATGATTGTATTATAATTTAAATATCTCCCATTTTAATGTCCAAATGTTGAGTCACACACTGCATGCATGAGAATTAAATATGCTTGTCAAATGCATTTCATGGTCAAAAAATAAGCCATCAGCCTAATGCATAAGAATTAAAAATTCTCTTATTCCAAAATTATTAGGTGACTTTAGTAGTATTGTGATTAATTTACACATTTCTTGTAATTAAAAATGAATCCAGAATACTTTTAAAGATGCAAATAATAATCCATTGTCATGAGTTTTATTAGAGGAATCTAAGTTTGTCATTTAAACAAACCATACTAAAAGCAATCATCCTTGCTGTTATCTGACGTTAATCCAAGAGCATTTAATTAGTAGTTATATTTTAAAATTCTGAATTTTTTAAAATTCTGCAATAGTTTGTATCTGTTTTTAACCAGGGAAATTTCTTTCAAAATATTGGATCAATAATGGTTTTTGCCATTGTTGGAACTGTTATTTCGGCAGTTTTTATTGGTGGTGGTGTATATCTTCTGGGACAAGTAAGTGTACTTTTTGTTTTTACTTTTCAAATTTTAATTTAGTTTTAGAAAATTATACTGAAAATTTTCTATCTGAATTGCTACTTAATCACAATAATTAAAATAATTTTAATTTTAATTTTTTTAAGAATGAAGAATATCTTTAATGAGAGAAATCCAGCAAATATATTTTCTGATATATTTCTTTAAAAAAAGTGCATTCTAGTATACTGATACTTTTTGTTTAAGCACAAATTCATAAAAGCATTTTTTCTCAAGTAAATTACTTGAGAAAAATGCTTTTATGAATTTGTGCTTAAACAATAAGTATCAGTATACTAGAATATCATAATAGTCAAAAATGAGAATTTCAGATCATATTTCATGTTTTTATTTTTGCAACTTTTTGTTCTCACTCAAGTTAAAATAACTCTAGTACAAATTATTTTAACTATATATATCTGGTGCAGAAACATGCACTCCACAAGCAATCAAATTACTCTAAGTTATGATAAGTTTGTGAATGTATTTTGTATATCTGACTATACATGTTAAAAAACTCTGTAATCCTACATTGGTAAGATAAATGGGTAATAAACTTTGAAGAAAAAAATGGTCAAATGAACATGATGGATAACATTTTTTGTGGAAAGAGTATAACATTTCAGTTAAGGACAGTTTCAGGCAATTTTTTGAAACTTAAGTTTGAAGCCAATGTTTTTTTTTTCTTTTTTTTCTTAAATATAAATAAATTTTATTTGGTTTCAAGTTATTTTAAAAATAATTTAGTAAGTATTTTTATCCAACTTTGTTAATCTTGTTTCATACTCTTCTGATTTTGAAAAACAACAGCTTCAAATTTGATTAAAAAAAAAAGAATATATATTCTTTTTTTTTTTAATCAAATTTGAAGCTGTTGTTTTTCAAAATCAGATGTAGACTTCAGTTATCATTGGGCTTATTTAAACAGTAGCCTAGTTTAGTGCAATATACTTGAAATAGGTTAAACTTTTTTTGTTCCAAGAAAAACAGAACAAGTAATTCTTTTGAAAGTTAAATAACAGTACCATTTGTATATTTATTTTTCATACTAAAATCAAATTTTACAGATATTATAGTTATTTCTTTTATAATTTTCAATTTTAATAGTATTCTGAATATATTAGGAAAAATTACTATTGTATCAGTACTTTAAAGATATAGTAATTAAGAGTGAAAATGGTAAATAAGCAGAATAGCTAACTTTAATTGGCTGAAACTTTTTGTTTTGTTATGCCTTAAATTATTGAAAGCACTTTAATGTTACTTTAAAACTGCTCAATATATTATTTGTTTTTTTTATTCAGATATTATTTGTTTTTTTATTCTTAAAGATATTTATATTAAAATAATTTTCCAATGTGTTTATGGATTAACTTTTATGTTTCATTTTGCTAATTATATCTGTAGGCAGAAGTAGCATATGAATTGGACATAGTCGAGAGTTTTGCCTTTGGATCCTTGATTTCAGCTGTCGATCCTGTAGCAACACTAGCCATCTTCCATGCTCTTGATGTAGATCCTGTTTTATACATGTTGGTGTTTGGTGAAAGTGTACTTAATGATGCTGTATCTATTGTGCTAACTTCGTAAGTAAAACTTGTGGGTATATGGAAAAGTCTGATTTAATATTAAAGGCATTTGTCTTGTAATTAAATGATTCATTTTCTTTATTCATTTTTTTTTTTTTTTATAAAATTTTTCAAATGACACATTTTCATATCAGATAGAGCAAATACTGAATCCATGTGTTTGCTTGGGTGGGCTTTATCTCACTCTTGAATCTGTAGATTTACTTTCTCTCTCTCTCTCGTATTCTGAATCTGAGCCACAACTGTCTGTTTCATGCTTGAATGCAGTTTTAAGGTCATCCATGTGTGCTGTATTTTGGCTTGACTATTATAGATGCTTGTCAATGGTGCATTATGGGAACTAAAGTCTATATCATTATCCTAATGGTTATTGAGTAGGTGGTAACAGTTATGTTTCAGATAATTCTATGGGCTATTGAGTAAGAATAATTGTGGATCTGAATGCAGTTATTTGTATCTATTTTATAGTGATGTTTATGAAATTTTACTTGTTATTGATTGTTTACAGGGTGTGATGGATAAATTGTGATCTAAATTAAGCAAAAATGAAAATAACAGTGACATCTCAATTTAACAGATATATTTACTAAAATTACACAAAAATGTCTTGAAATACTAAAGAGTAAATTTATTCAATAAAATCACCATTGGCTTCAACCACAGCCTCCAGATGACTTTGGAATCTCCTGCAACTCTTCTGGACAGTCTCCTTATTTAAGTTAGTGAATGCTGCCATAATACTTGCCTTTGGTTCATCTTTGCTATTACAAAGAGTTTTGTTAGTTTCTCGCTGAATTGTGTTCCACACAATAATCAACTAGGTTGCAGTCTGGGGAGTTAAGTGACCAGATGTAAAGAATGATGTCGCACAAATTGTCTGACAGCCATGACTGGGTACTCCTGCTTGTGTGGCATAGTGCAGTCCTGTTGCCAGACATAAGGTCTTCCAGCAGCCATCCTCTTGACCCAGGGCAGCACTACCTCCTCTGCATTGAGTCTGAGACCCTCACCAACAAATTTGAGAGTTCTTTTATCAGAACTATCAGTGAGTTTTCCAAGGTGCTATAGCTTCATAATCACCTCTAGACTCATCTAACTCTGAATCCTCTGTACAGTCTTCAGATTGACACCCAGACACTCTGAAATGTTCATATTGATGCCATTTCCCAATTTCTGGCAGAGGGAATTGCGTCATGGTGCTCTTTTTCTCACAGATTGTGCCCGTCTGACCCTACTATGCTGGGCAGTTGACAAAAACAACATGCATGAGCGAAATTAAAAATATGAAATGGCGACAATTTACCCATCGCACACAGATTATGTTTATTATTATTATAGTTACTTGTGTTTATGTGTGCATTCAGTTTAATTTGTTTATTATTTACTCTTTTTGTTTATTTTATTTTTTTGAGGTGGTTATCTCATTTATTTAGTTATCTGCATATATTCATTTTCGTTATAGTATTTTACAAGGTATTCATGTGTTTATTTGTGTTGGTCTAGGAAGGAGATTATATCTATTTTCTCCTCCAGACAGTTTAGTTTTGGGTTTATTGTTGTCTGATGCTGTTTTACTTATTTTCCATGATATTTTACGTATAGTTTGGTTTATGTTTTTAATTTCACATATGTTTAGAAAATATTCTGCTGTAAATGTATTTACTATTTGTAAAAGATGTTTTGTGTGAGTAAAAAAAAAAATGAATAAAGTAAATAAACAAATTAACAAACTACAAATTCACACAAAGTAAATGTAAATAAGCAACAGCAAATAATTAAGTAATCAGTAATAAATAAGTAAGAAGTTAACAAACAACACTATAAAATAGCTACAAATAACTGCATTCAGATTTACAATAATTCCTGCTCAGTAGCCCTTAGAATATATATATATATATATATATATATATATATATATATATATATATATAATGTTGTAGCCTCTGTCTGTTATCAAACTCCTCCTAGGGTTTTAGATAGATCACCCCATAACCATATGTATTGTGAAACTACATTACCCAGGGTACTTGGATAAGTATATCTCATTTTGATCAAAGGGGGCCACCAGAGAGAACCTCCTCATTGAAAATTTTTTTTCCCTTTTGATTTAAATTTAATTTTGAACAAGGGAATGATACCTATCCAAAATATAGGAGGAGAAAGCCAGAAGATGGAGGTCACATCAGCAAGATCAAAATAAGACAATATGGATGTTGAGCAAGAAATCACCAATCAATGGGTATTTCCTTACACTACATATTTGTAATAATTCAACTGTCATATCAATGTTCAAATGTGCTCATCAATTCATTCAATCAAGAATTGCATTAAATGCATATCAAAGATCAAGCTGTTACAAAAAGAGTTACAAAATGCTGCACAAGTCAATAGTTAAGAACTACAGGTGGTTGCTGAAATCAGCCAATACCAAAACATGTAATATGTGTCATCATCAGAAGCCACATGGTGGATTCTTGAGCATCCTACACACGTGCATTTTCCATCAGTTGTTAATTTGTCAATTCATCTTGAGAATGGACAAACAGTGCTCTTTCTTGAAGAAAATGCATTACAAAGAACTGTTAGCTATCCACCTCCCACAACTGTGACAGATTTTTCCCAGCTCTGCTAAGATAATAACTTTGCAAAGACATTGAACTCCCACATTATTACATTTGGATTAAAAGTACAAAGAAATGGAATTGTTGCAAAAGAGGTATTTTGATTGATGGAGTTAATGACGATGACCCAGTTTGGAAAGCTCTGGCTGTTGGCAGGATGTACACAATCAGTCCAAGAGCTGGAGAGTGTTAATTTTTGAGATTCCTCCTGAGCGAAGTGAGGGGACCAACTTCATTCCAAGATCTTAAAATAGTTGATGGGATATTCTATGCACAACCTTGAGAAGCTTACCTTGAGCTTTTGGAGAATGCTTACCTTGAGCTTACCTTACCTTAAGCTTTTGGAGAATGATGACCATTTGCCATGCAAGAAGTAAGAATTTCTCAGTCACCTGCAAACATGACATGCCTCTTTGCCATAATTTTGACAGCATGTTTACCAAGTAATCCAGCAGAGCTTTAGGAGACATTCAAAGAAACATTGTCAGAAGATTATTTAATGCAACATCACAGGTCGATGAATGATCCAGATGCTCCAGTTTGGGATTTCATTTTCAATAAAGTTTTTGTGTCATTTGGAATACAAAGTTCTCATGATGGAAGGACATATTTTGATAACATATGGCTTACCAAGAGCACCCCATATTGATAATGAGCAGCTTAGTCATGAATACAGATTTGAGACCAACTACAGTCAGGAGGATTTGGCAGTGCAGGTTAATGAAAAATATTAAAAATTGACAGATGATCAAAAGAGTGCTTATACAGAATTTTTGGAGATGGTGGATGATGAAATAGAAGATCATAAAAACATTGTTTCATGATGCACCTGAAAGAACAGGTAAGACTTATTTGCAAAACTTAATTCTAGCAAAAATGAGGTCAAAAGGGAAAATTGTGCTGGCAACTTCATCAAGTGGTATTGCAGCAACATTGTTGGAAGGAGGACGTACATTGTATAGTACTTTCAAAGTACCATTGGACATATACAGAATAGATGAGCCTACATGTTCAGTTACTTGAAACTCTAACATAGCCAAAGTAATACAGGAAACAAAAGCAATAATTGTTGAAGCCCCTATGGCATCTAAGACTGTTTACAAGACATCACAGATGTCAAGAATACAACGGGTGGTATTCAAACACTACTATCAGGAGACTTCTGTCAAATTTTGCCTGTTGTAAAAAATGGAACAAGAGGGCTCATATGATTGGAGATTCAGATTCAGCAAACTTTTCAAACCTTATAATTGGAGATGGACACCGCCCTTATGTGGAAGTACCTGATGCAATTTTAGTTCCCAAAGAACTTGGTAATTGTGTTGAGAAACTAGATTTGAAGGCAAGAATGTATCCAGACTTGAACTTGCATGGAAAACATCCACACTGGCTTGCTGAGCAAGCGATTGTTTCTCTACTAAAAGCCAATGTCAACAAGTTGAATAAATGGCTAATGAGTGAATTTCCAGTGCAGGAAAAAGTGTACAAATCTATTGACACTACAACAAACAATGATGTAGCTGTACAGTATCCTACAGTTTTTGAATTCAATTGAGTTTTCTGGAATGCCTCCCCATCTTCTGAAAGTTAAAGTTGGATTATCTGATCATGATTTTGAGATCATTGGACCCACCCCAAACAATAAACGGAACAAGATGTGTTATAACAACTTGATTGAAGCAACCATTATATTTTGGGCCTTACAAAGGTAAAGCACTTCTCATTCCAAAGATTCCACTTATACCAAGTGATAATGAGTTGCCTTTGCATTTAGGAGGCTGCAGTTCAGTGAGGACATGCTTTGCCATGAGCATCAATGAGTCAAGGTCAAACTTTGAAAAATATTAGTATAGATCTGACAAACCCATGTTTTAGTCATAGCATGTTTTATGTGGTTGTTTCAAGGACTGGAGCTTCAAAAAATCTACATTTTAGTCAATCAAAGCAAGAAATGTTGTTTACTCTGAAGTTCTTCATTAGGACAAAGTATGAAATTTATTTTCATGTATTATGTTAAAAATAAATGGTTAATCTTTGAATTTGGCTAGTTTAAATCTAAATAGTTGAGCCAAAACAACATACATGGCTTGAAGATTACATTTAAGCATCACAGTCACCACTATGTTGATATCAGTGTCCACTTTTATATTTACATAAGCTGTATTTCTTAAATTGGGCACTTTTACTCATAAATATAGCATACATTAAAACTATATTTTTATCATATGTATATATAGTGTTTATACAGTAAAAAAAAAAATAACTAAATAAATAATAAAGAATAACCCTCTTTTTAAGAGGAAAACTAAATACTGTCAGAAAAACAGGTGTAAATTTTTAAGTGGGTGGCATCAAGACAGACCTGTAGTTTTAAAT